ATCCCCCCGAGGGGCCGTGGGGGTCCTACCCCTAAGGGGCTGTGTGTGGGGTGAGGGGACCCCCTTACGAGGCTGCTTCAGCTGCGGGGCCAGGCGTTGGGGTATGTGGACTCTCCTCAGAGACCTTCAGGTGAGGACTCTGCCGCTGGGGAGACGGCCGAGGTCTGGCTGAGCACCCCCCGGCACCCCCAGCCCCGGGGGAGTCGCACTCGGGCAGGCAGAGAGAGGTGGGGTGGGCGAGAGGGGCCCAACGTGTCCCGTGTGCGCTGGTACGACCCCGTCCCGCTCCCAACGTGAGTGGGGTGTCCGGGATGCAGTGAGGGAGGCCTGAGGTGTGAAGGGGCCAGGACCCGGAGCAGGCTCAGCAGGCCTGGAGGGGAGACCATAACCTATTGAAACAGCTGGAGCTCTTCTTCCTCCTCCTCCTTCCTCCTCCTTCTTCCTCTTTCTTCCTCTTTCTTCTTCCTCATTGTACATTGATACTTTATTTTTTTAATTGCCCAATGCGTTTCTATTGACAAAGTCATATTCCTGCCTCCAGAAAATGCTTGAAGCTTCAAACTTCATCCTGCTCCAGCTGTGCTGGATGTAGTTTGAAAAATAACTCTTAGCTTGTCACTTTATTTTAAAAAGTACTAACTGCTTGAAAAGCATCATAAATTTTATTTCCTTCATGTACTTTTCTATTGCTGTGTGTGCTTGGTATTCCATAATGTGAAATTAATTGGATTATTCTGTACAGGACACTGTTTGAATGTTATGAACACTCATGAATTCTAGGAAGGCTTTGTCGTGGGACAGAGACGCAGCAACATTAGAGAAGTCAGGATTTGGGAACAGAGATACCAGATGTATTGCTGGAACAAGGGTGACCTCAGTTTTGCTCGGCAGTGATGTCATTAATACGCTGGCGATGGGCTCGCAGTCCTCCACGCCTGTCAGTGTGATCTCATCCAAGACCTGGATTCTTACTTCTGCCTCTCCCATCTCTGGAATTGGTTTTCTTTACACTTCATTGTTTCCCCACTGTTTAATTTTGAAGATTCACGTGGGATGAGAGTTTGTATTGCTATTTAATTGCTGCAACAGCTATTTTTTTTAATTTAACTTTTATGTGCAAGATTGAGAATGGGGATTTAAAGGCCAGTGTATATATACCAGCAGGTGGCATAAAAAAGATTTTGTGGTTGGTTGGGATTTTTTTTTTTAAGAAGCTTTTTCTGTGGGGTTTCCGGAGTCACCTTCAGTTTTGAGGCTTGTGTGCTGAAGTTACGCTGAAATGCTTCATAGCCAACGTTCTCTGTGCTGTCTCGGGGCAGCTGAACAGGGCTGTAAGATGCCTTATTTTGAAAAGTATTCATCCCAAATACATTTTTCTTTCTGGTGTTTATTTGGCCTGTCCAACAACATGTGACTACTGTATCTTTTATGGTGCAGCTAAGTTCATTTGAAGCTGTATAAAGCACTTAGTCTCAGAAGTCCCCATGACAGCAGAAACCTGCCCAGGTATTCCACAGGTGACAAAGTAAGAATTATTTTCCTGTATCTAGCAACTAGAAAAAAATATCCCTTTGCTTCTTCTTATCCCTAATGTCAAATAACACACAGTTCCCAAACACGTATTTAATCATTAACAGGTGTCTCACCGTCATCTGTGCAGTTCTGCGTTTCACCTGTTCATGGACAATGAGGCACTGCACGTTACAGCTGAGATGGCGTTAGGTTTTGTAAACACACAGAGCAAACAGGGCCGCGGGCTGTTGTACCGTCTGCGGGTTTGTGTGTGTGAGGTGCTGCCTCTCGGCTGAGATACTCAGTGTTTATGTGATGGGACTGCTTGGGAAAAAAGTGCACTATTCCTACTGCCAGTTTGAAATGGAAAACTAACACAAATGATCCCCTCTGTGCTCAGTAAAGTGTATTTTAGGGAGGTTTCTTGAGAGTGTGAGATGTTCTCCTTTTCCAAGGGCTGTAGAGGCTAAATATTCCAGTTGATGTCTTATCTGCTTGGTTTGTTTTGGTTTGGTGTTTTTTTTTCCAAGAGAAGAGACTTCCCAGATGAACTCAAAAGTGCCGCACATGTTGACTTTAGATAATGTGAGTGGTGTCAGTGTGCACACTTTGTTTAACCCAGCGGCCAGCTCTGGTGAAGGCTGAGGAGCTGCAGATAAAGTGGACAGCAGTTCTGGTTTCACCCACCTTTCTACACCATGTGGCAGGATATAACCGGGGAAAAAAGCACATTAAGAGATTAAAACGAGCAAACCAAACCGTTCCTCACCCGTGTGTGATCTCTTCCAGAACCCCCAGTGCAGCCATGATGCCTGTTGCAACCGTCATGCCTGACGACACGCCGATGTTTGACCCAAATATTCTGCATGAGCTTGACTGGAGCGAGAACACGACGACGTTTTCTCCTGCTATTTCTCCATTAGATCCAGGAGATGGTCTTGTTCTGAGACCGCTTTGCACAGCTGATTTAAATCGAGGTAGGATCCTGTTTAATGAGCACCCTAAATGAGAACTGAGTACTGAAACAGAGAATACGTATTTCTGTCTGGTCTCTCAATAGATAAGGATTGCTCATTTTATCTGATCTGGGTTAATTTTATTGGTGAGGACTTTGAGCACTTGGCACCATGGATTGGTGTTGCGTTGGGTGACCCTCAAAACCGATTTTGAGGTTAAAACAGTAAAACAAATCTTAAAATTCAAGTCAAATCTTCCAAATAATCCCCAGCTTCCTGCTCATCACAGCTTTAGAGAGGGAGAACAGTTGTTCATACTGTTCCCTTTAATAGAAAAGTAATGCGAACAGCACATTGTTCTTGGTGCAAGGAGGCTTCTTCCTTCCGTAACTTGGATGAAAAGGTTTTTCTGAACATCCAGCTTAATATTGCATAATGTCAGGCTTATACTTTTCTTGCTTGAATGCGTGCACCTTCTGTACTGACGCGGCAGTTAACGCTGATGCGTTAGCTGATCCTTCAGCATCGCTTGAGGCAAGAGTGTGATTTTGACATTACAGCCTGGTTCTGTAAAGTGCAGAGCTCAGGTTTTTACATACAACTGAATTGGAAGGTGCCATGAGGGTCTTAACACTCTGGACAGCCGTGTTGGGTTGTTCTGTGCTGTTTGGATCTGATTGTGTGTCTCTGGTTTTTCCCTTCTTTTATAACAGGTTTTTTTAAGGTTCTGGGTCAGCTGACAGAAACTGGAGTTGCGAGACCGGAGCAGTTTATCAGTAAGTATATCGTTATTTCTTGACATTTCCATAGAGGTTGCTGGGAACCAGAGAATACTGATGCCGACAGCAAATCTGCTTGGGTGTGAGGCTCCCAACCGCCCGATGCCAGAGGGATTTATCCACTCAGCTCCCCTGAGGCAGCCTTTGGCACTCGGTGTTGGGTCAGCTGCAGCTATCCTGAAGGGCTTCTTGGCTGGGACAGGCCTGAATTGTGTCCCTACTTTTGAGACCCAGCTTTAGGTGCCTGGCAGAAGGGTGATGGTGGTTTTGGCTGAATTATTGCAGCAGCAGTAGTGAGGCAGAGGCCTTTGATCGTGGCTCAGCAGCATCCTGAGCTCCACTACTTTAACTGGGATGTCCGAAAACATAGAGGTGCTGCCACCTTCACTGCAGGGCCCATCTGCAGAGGAGGGCTCTCATGGCAGCTGAGGAAAAGGCATTTCTTTAACTTCTGCTTTTTCCTGGTTCTGTGTCTGAGTTAGGCTGACTCCAAGGCTTTCGGGTTCTGGGGTTTTGGGTGCATCTTCCTTGCGATCCTGAACCCTCAGTGATCTGCAGTCAGAATCTGTTGCAAGCGTTAAGACTTCACAGCAATTTAATCTGAGATTAATGGTGGCTGTTCCGCTGTCTGTCTGCGCCCACAGAAACCTTCGAGCACATGAAGAGATCTGGAGATTACTACGTTACTGTTGTGGAAGACACAAATCTTGGACAGATTGTTGCTACAGCAACGCTGGTGATAGAACATAAGTTCACTCACTCCTGTGCAAAGGTATATCCTCTCACTGCAGCCGTGAAGTGAGGAAAAAGATCCTGTCCCCCGACTCTGTGCATGTTATTTTTGTGGCATTACTTCTGCTGAGTTGGTGACAGAGGCATTTTTAAAATATCTCCCATCCTTGGGTGCTCAGCTAAGAGTCAAAGGAAGCTTTGGCTTTTCTTAAGGAAAAAGAGCAATTTGACATCTGTCCTGTTCTCGCTGCCAGTGAGCTTTTGTCAGACGCGGTTCTGAGGGAGCAGATGGCTGAGGGTGTCGCTGCCAGGGTCCCAGCCAGACGTGCAAGAACACGGTACTGGGGAGGTACAAATCCCCCAGCGGGGTGAGGCTGTGCTGGGACCGCAGCTCCTATGGGGCATTGCCAGCTTGTCCACTGCTGGAGGAGCTGAATCGAACCAGACAGCGGAAAATCCGAGCATATAAAGCAGCAGGGAAATTAACACAGCGGTGCTCTGTTCCACTAACGCTTGCCTGTGTTTTCACAGAGAGGAAGGATAGAAGATGTCGTAGTCAGCGGGGAGTGCAGAGGAAAGCAGCTGGGTAAACTGTAAGTATTTCAGCACCTTTGCTGTTCCGCACCTCTTGTGGTTGCAGCTGTCCTGCGTAGTGCAGGAAAATGCCAAGTGCTGCAGAACTTTGGTATTGTGTGGCTGATATCTTTAGCTAATTAAATGTTAATCCAGTGTCCGGGGCTGTTTCGTTTAACTGTTGGCTTTCTGTCTTTTTCAGATTAACGTCCACCCTTACATTGCTAAGTAAGAGATTGAACTGTTACAAAATTACTCTTGAGTGTCTGCCAAAAAACGTGGATTTCTACAAGAAGTTTGGCTATTCGGTATCTGAAGAAAACTACATGTTTCAACGGTTCTTTAATTAAGAACTTCTAGTTTTGTTTTATTCTTTTTGTAAAGACTGTTGGTGGAGGAGCTTGTGCTACAAACATTCTCTCTGTGGAAAGTTTCTAGTTTATTGCTGCAAATGTAATAATGATCCCTATAAATAATGAACATCAAATGTGTAAATCCTGCAAAAAAAAATACTGACATTCTAGAAGGGTCCTTTGGGTTACGAAATAAGTGCTTGGAACTAATTTTTACTACTGTTCAGTCTAAGTGAAGCTTTTTTGTTCTAGCTACAAAGAGTTACAAAGGACTCTTGTTCAAGGGATGGTTTTTAACCAAAGGTATATATTTTTATCTCAAATTTTTTCTTGCATTGTATTTTTCTAAAGGTTTGTGCTTCTTTTCTTGGTAGCCAAAGTACGGCTGGCGGGGCTGTTCTCCTGCCTGTACTTCACAGGAGGATGCTGTAGCTCAGGTAGGGATGCTTCTCATGCAAAATTAGTGACTTAAAAGTGGCGTTTGTGCCGTTCTTCGCACAACAGCTCACTGTTGATGGCAGCGTACCTAGAGCATTACAGGCACTGTTTTCCCAAGCTTTCCAGTTACTGTTTGTGCGGGTATGGAAGAATCCTTCTGGGCTGCGCTAAAGCTGATGTTCCGAGTCTAGAAATGGATGTGTGCTTCTCACTGCAGGGGTCCTGCACTTTAGCTGATAATTTTGTTTTCAGGATAATGACTTTTTTTTTATTTTTCTGAAAAAGAGTAATAACTCAGTGGTTTGCGACAGAGGTAACTGGGAAACTGCAATGTCTGACAGAGAATGCACCCCAGCTTGAGCGGGGCTGTGGCTTGTAGTTCACGGGAAGGTGATTTGGGCTTGGCAGTTAATGCACGCTGATGCGTTTGGCTTCACCCAACACCAGACTTGAGCTCCTGAGGACCAGGTGGGCTGTGGCTTTGCTGGTGACAGCAGAGAAATCCCTCATCCTGGGCCTTGTTGCTGCTTTGGAGCACGCCTCTTGCTAGAAGATTGGAGCAATGATTTTAGCACTTTTGCCGGCGATGGCAAGCAAATAACATACAAAGCCCTGGCTTCAACAGTAGCGTTTTGTGTGAAGGCAGTGACAAATCCTCCGTCTGTGAATAGGGCATTATACGAACGTGAAGGTTCGTACAGAGCAGCCAGTCTCGTTTGTGAAACAGTCAGGCCTCACAAAAGGGTCTCTCGTTGCAGTGTCGAGAGCTACTTTAAGCTGTGGTGGGGGCTCTATTGAATGTTCCCGATGGTACTCCACTTGATATAGTGTTTCCTTGGTGATGTCTGTTTTATTTATTGATTATTTTTTTAAAATATCTTTAAGCTGAATAAATGAAGACTGCCAACTGTATCTGATCTGTTGTTGTATTACAGTTTCTAACCCACTTGTACCCCTGTTCTCCACAGCAGACCTGGGCACCTGATTTCCTTAGGGGTGTTTGTCCCTGAGGGAGAGCTGGGTTCTGCTGACAGAACATTGAAGCAGCTCGAGCCGCTTATTTTATACCTGATTTTATAAAATCAGCTATTGCTTCATGCTGGCCCAGATGACTGAAGTGGTTTTCTTTTCCCAGTTTTAATTAATTCTCAGTTTCCACTAATTTAAAGTAGATTATTTGAATTCCATGATATCTACACCATCTAAAGAGCTCCAGGCCCTCATTACGAGTTAATGAAGTGATTAGTACAAGTGAGGAGCAGGTGACTGTGTACCCAGCTTCCATCAGTGTAAAACAAATGTATCCATGAATTGAGTTGAAGGCTTGGTTTTGTGGCAAATACCATGACAATGCCTCTGCTGGGCAGGATCCAGCTCAGCAGCAGCCCCACAGCTCTGTTCTGTACTAGAGGTGACATTCCCAACCTCACAGGTACAGCAGCTCAGTGGTGAGAGGAGAGGTCTGGTCCCCTGCTGTGTCACACCTGGATGGCTGCTGGGCTGCCAGGAATTCCTCTGGAGGAAGATTGGGCTCCTTGTACCCTCCAGGAAAGGGTGTGAGCTGCAGGGCTGAAACTGGTGTGTTCCCAGCACTGCATCTATCTTCAGACTGCAGGCAGATACTGGGGGCTCACAGGTGCCACTGGTTCCAGGCATGCCCCGGCCAGCTGGGAGAACAGCTATTATGCAGGTACATGTATTTTAAGCTGTCACAGGAACCAGGAAAATGCCACAAATAACAGCATTTAACAGCAACAGGTGGTAATAAAATACATTTTGCATCCCTCAAACTACAGAAGCTCCATTAATTTATCCACAGTACAACTGGCTCAACTGGGAAGAGCAAGGGAACAGAAGAACCAAGGATTTTGTCAGACATCACCCATACCGTCACCACCAGCTTCTCCAGACGTTTCATGTTACCTCCTCTGTGGGATTTCATTTTTTGGGTAACAGCTCTCCCCCCATGAGGAAGAGGTCTCCAGCTCCTTTACTCTGCTTCCCCCTAAGCTGGAAAAGGGAACTTCAGCACCTTAAGGCAGAGCTGTGGCTCCCCAAAGCTCTGGGGACTGCAGTTTTGTGACTGAACCTGAGGAATGAAGAAAATTCAACCTCTAAAGGGACCCCTGCTGCCAATTACAGCCTTTGATTTAACCCCAGCAAGCACACAGTAATTGAAATACCTACTGGCAGTAAGCTAAATGAGACAGATGGCAAGAAGTTTTAAATAAAAGGCTTAATAATAGATACGTGAAGAAAACTCATCTCAGAATCCCTTAGGATCTGGGGCTGTTATCTGCAAGGCAGCAGGCAGACAGACCAGAATGACTGTAAAGGCAGCAGCAGGGGGTAATGCCATGAAAAAAAAATTGGCTGGTGGAAAATCCTTAGTCATAAAGCTTGTTAGTTTGTGAAACGGCCTCCCCTGGGAAGCAGCAGGACCCCAGTGAGATAACAGCAGCAGACTGCACATGAACAAGCCTCTCTGGCAAGGGAGGTTGGATGAGTAAAGAGCGTTCTTCCATCTGTGTTTCATCTCTGCCCCTTCCCCAGGGAGCTGAAACAGAGCAATTGCATGCAGAAGTTCTGGTTCCCACCCTTGTAGCTGGCGGCATTTGGTGAGCAGCGCAAGAGCCAGACATCCACAAACCCTGCTGCAGCGTGCAGCAGCCTCGTGGGTAAGCGGTGAAACACCCGAGAAGGTGTTTCCTCACAGCCCCAGAAGGATTCTTCTCAAGAGAGTCAGTTAACAGCACATCATAAACCCTACAACTATAAAACCAGTGCTGCATGCACTTAACACTGCTGAGCTGTGGTTCTTACGGAGATCATAGTAATGCTTCCTTCTTTCCAAGCTGAAAATTTCCTAACTAAAGCATCACACATTTCTTAAAAGATTTTTCTCTCTGAAGCCTTTGCGCTGCTCCATCACCAAGGCAGAGGACAGATAGCAGTCAAGTGCTGCTGAATGCTGGTTCAGCTCCACCGAAGCTGTGAACCCTTCCCACATACAGCACATTCCACACCAGAAGAGGTTATGGGGCTGTAAAGCCTCACCCCAGTGTCCCAGCTCAGCTAAAAGCCCTGACTCACTGCAGGATTTCCTCTCCGGTGTCACCAACATCTGTTCCAGCAGCGTTTGGTTTTCAAACCAGAATCTGCAACTTGTGAGAGCCCTGACACAGGCCAGGAGCTCAGGCTTGCTCAGGAGGTTCTGCCCCTCAGCCATTGCAGGAGCTGCAGGACAAGGCAGAGCAGCAGTGAAAAAGCAAAGATCAGCTTGGCACAGGCGTGGTCAACTCGCCTTGAATACACAAAGCAAGGCAGAAACTCCTACAAAGTAAACAGGCTCCTACAAAGGGAAACAACAGCAAACAGCAGCATCAGAAGAGATCCTCACAGCACAAAATGGCCTCGCTGTTCAGATTCATGCCTTTAAATTCAAAGGCATCTGCCCTCAGACTGTTTCCCAGTGCACGTTGCTCACTCTGACAGGACAGGGAGACAGCTGGATGCTCAGATCCCCAAATGTCTCTTTCATGTAGACTCAACTCTCTTGAACCCACCTGTTCCCCATTACAATACAGCGTAATGACAAGCCCAGATTTCCCAGGTTCTTCTAACAGTTCCGTAATTTGCTCAGGAGCCATCCTTTCAATCCTGTCTTTTATACAACAGGCTGGGTGGCAAAGAGAGTGGAGATGCAGAACTGAGACTGTGCTTGCACAATCAGAGGCTACCACAGCACTTTGGAGAGGGAAGAAAAGAGCTGCAACAAACACCTTGGCAATTCCCAGTTTGAAAACTTTAGGTCTTGATATTATTGTGGCCAGTGCTTTGGGCTTCAGTTTTCACAGAATCACAGAACCACAGAATGTTAGGGATTGGAAGGGACCTCAAAAGCTCATCCAGTCCAATCCCCCTGCCAGAGCAGGAACACCCAGATGAGGTTACACAGGAAGGCGTCCAGGCGGGTTTTGAATGTCTGCAGAGAAGGAGACTCCACAACCTCTCTGGGCAGCCTGGGCCAGGGCTCTGTCACCCTCACTGAGAAGAAGTTTCTTCTCCAATTGAAGTGGCACCTCCTGTGTTCCAGTTTGTGTCCGTTACCCCTTGTCCTATCATTGTTTGTCACCGAGAAGAGCCTGGCTCCATCCTCGTGACACTCACCCTTTAAATATTTATAAACATGAATGAGGTCTCCCCTCAGTCTCCTCTTCTGCAAACTAAAGAGCCCCAGCTCCCTCAGCCTTTCTGCATAAGGGAGATGCTCCACTCCCTTGATCATCTTTGTAGCCCTACGCTGGACTCTCTCCAGCAGTTCCCTGCCCTTCTTGAACTGAGGGTGTTTTCAAACACCAGCCTGATTTTTTACCTCAAATGCTGCCACTATTGGCTTACAAAGGGAACTACTCCTTCAACACCAGTTTGGAGATGCACTGTTCTAACAGAGATGGACCATACTGGCTTGATCAACTTAAACCAACCTATAACTAATTTAACAAGCAGCTTTTTAATGCTAGCTAAAAGAATTCAGTCTTTATGTAGGTAAAATTGGTAGCTGCCCTCTCTGGTAATTCAGCCCATGACTATTTTATTAAGTAATTAATCAGTACTCTGCAAAACTTTTAACTCGCATAAAACAAGGTGAGGTTTTGAGAACAGTATTTTGTCTTAAATTGGTCTCAGAGTGTCAGTCTCAAAATAATTCAGTATATAATGAGGTTTTATAACAAGGTAAAGAGTTAAATACCGATTAAATTGCCGTTGTTGCTCAGTTGCCAGTAGTGGAGCACAGTGCAGTTCATAAAGTGCATTTCCGCAAGCGTGACCATCATATACTGAGAACAAGGTGAGTTTTAGCAAACTTTTTCTTTACTAAAGTCTCTTGTTATAAATTACACAAATAACTTTATAAACAAATCCCCCCCAGCTTGCATTTTGTTTAAAGTAATAACTTTATATCATACAAATAAAGAAATTTCAAGTATGAAAAGTGCATTATTGCAATAATACCTCTTTGCAAGTCCAAAAATCTTGGTTTAGAATAAAACTGTAAAGTGTAAAAAAGGAGTAAAACAATCAGTGCCATCTATTCATTCAAGAAGTCCAACATCTTAAAAATGATGCTTAGTGTGTTGCAGAGGCAGATTTACATCTGAAAGCAACATGTAATTGAAAAGAAGCTATGTGTGTGTGTGTGTGTGTGTTCATCATTTTGCAATTCGTTTTTCCCTAGTTTTCTTCACCTTTCTCGGCAGGAATTCACAAGATAAACTGCGCTGTCCTCAGGTATCATCCGTTCTGTGCTGCTGCCACTTGCATGGTTCCAAGTTCATCATCCTCTTCGTGCATTCGCTTTAAACTTCCTGCAAAAGGAAGGAGGATGTATCTGAAAAGGTCGTTTCCAGGGCAGCCGTTATTGTCACCTTGCAGGGACTCTGCCCTTTGAAGACATTCAGCTTTTGGGACAGCAGCACTCTTCTTCCCTCGCACTTCTCCATGTGGAAGTGGAGAAATTTCCTAGAACCCACTATTTTTTGCACTCTTTACGTCTCTCCCCAAACCCTATTTTCACCGATCTTTAGCAGGGGTTGCTACCAGCACACCTCTGTATGGTTCAGGTACCATTTTTACATGCCCTATTCCCCTGTTATCTGTATGAGGGCACAGCAAAACCTTCTCTCAGAGCAACTGCCTTAATTTTAAGAGCAGCAATTACGCTGTGTACTGCTGCTTTCAACGTGTCGCAGGGACCTCGTGGGTTTTGACAGAGAGGGAGAGGCAGGGCCCTTCTCCAGTACAACACAAGAAAGTTCAACCGTAGGAGACCAGAGTATTTAAGTACTGCATACTGAAATTTGAACGTAGCTTGCACACCAACTGCAACCATCTCCTACCCAAAAGATTGAGACTCACTGCTGCTGGGAGTGTGCAAGTCACCTCGCAACAGGAGAGGCTTCTGACCTGTAGTCCCAGGTGGAACAGAGAGGGATCTCTCCAGCTGCAGTGGTGACATCATCTGGATGGTTAATTTTGCTAGATAGATGGCTTCATATTCCTGAAAAAGTTTAATAATATATACTGCTATTAACTTGGCATAATGCTTTGCGAGGATGAGAAGGACAAATTCAGCAAGTTCACTAGGACAGACTAGAGAGTATCTTAGAGTGAGGCAGAGATTTTAGGAGGAGAGTCCTTTGTTGCTTTGACATGAATGACAAAAGCCATCAGGAAAGCAGAGCAAAAGAAAACTTAAAGGATGACAAGAAATGGCTTTAAAGAAGAGAGTAAACTTTCACTTAAAAAAATAAAGAAATGCAATTTCTGTTGAAACAGCTGCTTTGCAGGAAGCAGATTCATCAAATGGCTCTTGAGTTATGACCGGGGGAAAAACAAAAACCAGTCACCTGAAGTTGATGGACAAATCCAGCATTAGGATTAATACAGAATCTTCTTTCTTGAACGTAAGTAAACGCATCCCTGAAGAAGAAGAGAGAGAAAATAATTCAGTGGAAAACATACTGTGACAAAAGTCTCTGTGTTTTCAGGATGCTTTCTCCCAATTATGAGTTCTTCAGAAATACACAGCCTCTCAGCACTCCTCAGAACTGGTTTGTATAGCCAAATTGTCTGGGCAAAATAGGAAGCAGTAGCTGTAACACACTATTTGCCCACCCCCACCTCCAGCTCACTGGCCCGTTTTCAACACATGACTTAGAGCAGCCTCTGGAGGCCTCTCCCATAGTTTTACACCTACGTAGGCCGATATCCCATTCCTGTTAGCAGCAGGACCTACTTCTTCTTAAAGAAAGGATGGAAACAGACCTGCAGGAGAGTGAAATGGAATCACAGAATCCCAGACCGTTAGGGACTGGAAGGGACCTCAAAAGCTCATCCAGTCCAATCCCCCTGCCGGAGCAGGAACACCCAGATGAGGTTACACAGGAAGGCGTCCAGGCGGGTTTTGAATGTCTGCAGAGAAGGAGACTCCACAACCTCTCTGGGCAGCCTGGGCCAGTGCTCTGTCACCCTCACTGAGAAGAAGTTTCTTCTCAAATTGAAGTGAAACCTCCTGTGTTCCAGTTTGTGTCCGTTACCCCTTGTCTTATCATTGTCACCGAGAAGAGCCTGGCTCCATCCTCGTGACACTCACCCTTTAAATATTTATAACCATGAATGAGGTCTCCCCTCAGTCTTCTCTTCTGCAAACTAAAGAGCCCCAGCTCCCTCAGCCGCTCCTCAGAAGGGAGATGCTCCACTCCCTTGATCATCTTTGTAGCCCTACGCTGGACTCTCTCCAGCAGTTCCTGTCCTTCTTGAACTGAGGGGCCCAGAACTGGACACAATATTCCAGATGCGGTCTCACCAGGGCAGAGTAGAGGGGGAGGAGAACCTCTCTGCCCTACAACCACCCCTCCTGATACACCCCAGGATGCCATTGGCCTTCTTGGCCACAAGGGCACATTGCTGGCTCATGGTCATCCTGCTGGCCACCAGGAACCCCAGGTCCCAGAATAATCTGCCCCATGTAAACCTTCGCTCAATCTCAGGGAGTAAGAACTGGTTTATGCATCCATACATGACTGTTTACACTCCCTCCAAAATTACTATTTGCTCACACCACTTGAATTAAAAATGAGTTTCTACAGATGTATCTGACTTCTCAGCTGTACTGAAGCACTCCGGCACTTCAGCCTTTTCAGACAAACTATGTGACTATGCTCTGTTCTTACCTGTACTTCACCCCAAATGTTTCCATTATGTACGCAATAACTAAGGCAGCACTGAAAAGCAACAACAAAAATTAGTAAAATATATTTCCATAGTCTAAGAAACTTAATAAGCAGAGTGGATAGTTTCCTACCTTCTAGAAATCCCTGCATTTCCATGGACAAGAACTTTTCCTGAGAAGGAAAAAAACCAACACTCACCATAACTGTATAGACTGAAGAAAACTCTTTGAAATGCAGGTTTTCTCTCATTATGAAGAACTACACAGTAGCGAGGTACATCTTAAGAATAATGGGTCTTACTTCACTCTAAGTTATGAACTACACTGTCCATTGCTGCCCTGGGATATAAAAGCATGAATCCGTGCTCCTCTGAGGATCCTGACTAACAGAATCTGCATTTCAGGACGACAATGCAGATTTAAGGCCCTACATCAGAGAGGAAACAAAAAACCCACGCACAGAACACGGTTGTGTTTAAAATGAAAAACCAGATACACAAAAAGGTTTCTTTTCCAGTCAGAGGCAAAAGGAAAGAACACTTTGTTCTAAACTTGTACAATATAGTTCAAGTCAAGCACAATAAAACACTAAATTTAAGAAAAACTCATACTCGAGAGCCTAATACATAGCACTAAGTTTTATAGCTTTAACAACAACGTATCAGTAAAGAAGCAAAAAGTTAATATGATTTTTACCTCCACTTTGTAAACTTCCATCAATAAATTCTTTTGTCTAAAAAGGAAAAAAATAAATCACAAGATTCAATTGCAGATTATTCCAGACGTTACTGCTACTTGCATTTAAATCTGGTAGAATTTGAAATTCGGTACCTCTTAGCTTAGAGAACTCCTACAGGGTAACTCCATTCCCAACCCATTCACATGAACACCCAAATACTCACCATAGGGAAAAATCGTATTATATTCTCAATCGGATTATCTGCAATATCCAAGACTAAATACCTGCAACGGAAACAGTCGCCGTGAGTACATCGTGACACCTGTATCCGCACAGCCGACTCAACCCCGCTACAACACCTGGACCTGCTGAAGGAAGCCAGCACCACCCTCCTGGGTCCGACACCCGGGACATTTACAGCGCACGCTCCCCATCCGTTTGTGAATAGTTCAGTGCTCTTCTCAGCGGCTCTATGCATTTTTTTATCCAAATACGCACGTTCTGATTAAACCACCTCAAATTTAGTAGCAGGACAAGCTGTACTCAGAACTAACAACTTTAAAACTGAAGGCAGTTACTGCAAACTCATGGAAACAATTTGCAGGTTTGCCTATGTCTAGGATTTCGCAGGACGAAGAAACTTCATGGTTTGGACTTAAGAGTCTTGCTGCACCTTAGCACATTTTTCAAATGGTCACGTCAATGTGGAAATATTTGGAAAGAACGTTAACGAAAAGAAACCGAATACAAAATAAAGAGTTTAAAGTTAAGACCTTTTGGTGTTTGTAGTTCAGCACGTTAGGATCGTTTCTCACCTAAATAACTGTTGGAAGTTTGGTTTAATAAAATTTGCTTCGATGTTTTGCCGTATGCATATTACATGGGTTATTCCATGTTTCTGAAGTATAGGTAGCTGTGGAAAAAGAAGATTTTTTTAAAAAATTATTGAATCCATCTATTGCACAGTAATTAAAAGCTATGTTTAAGTACACAACAGGGCTACATCGTGTCCTCAAGGAAAATTTAAGCTAGTTTTCTTATATTCAAAATATAGTGTAAAAAAGGTTGTCTTTCAAAAAGACAAAACGCAACCATTAGGAGCTACAAGAAAAAGCATTCCTAAACGATAAACAGAACAGGCGGTGTCTGCCCACCTCTCACTTCTCCTGAAATCACAAGTCCCTACACAATGCAGCAATTTTCAGCCAGCGCTGGATTCTTGCTGGAATCAGACCACTGAAACCAGCATCATTTCAACCACGAGGTAAATTACAGGTACAAGCTTTCCCTTAGCAATTGCCTTTATTTTAGGTGCAATTTACCTTATTTTACTGCATACCTGTGAGTTCCCAGTTCTGATTTGTGTTGCAACACCTCAGCAAAGGAGATAGATTGCCTGACTGGTAATGTGCAAGTCTCCAAAGGTTTAGCTTTTTCTAAGAGACAGTTAAGCCTGAATATAATTTAAGACTCAAATTTAATACAACTTAGTTTTTTCTCCTGAAGCAACCCTTTAGCTCATAAGATTCTGAAGGAAAACACAGCTTTGTAAGTGTGAACCGTGGCAGTTCGGATTCACTCTGGAAAGAGAAGGCATCGCCACCGGTCCTGGTCACATAACCTAAGGGCCATCCCATAAACATACCACCCCAAAAACATACCACACATTACTTCTACTGTGGCATCCTTCAGGTTCCAGTTCAGGATCGCAGCCAAATTCACACCTATCTAGATAACACTCGAACATATTGCCACAGTAACAAATCATCACAGCAAAGTTTCCAAAAATCATACCTTGCTTTTCATAGCTGAAGAATATGGGCCTAAAAATAACCCAGGTAAAATTTCCTAGGAGGAAGAACAGACATTTAATACCAACTCAAAATTATCTGAAATAATATATTGTATTCAACTCAGACTCTGGTCATGGAAACAAGCAATTTACACATTAGTTGGAAATGTGCTATCGAAATGCCGTTTATAGCAGGACAAGGGGGGAAAAAGCAGTTTGGCAAAAGAAAAGAAACATGATCTTTGTGCAGGAGGTCTTGTTTTGGAACAGGAATCAGGTCCTTTATTTGGACTGAGTTCCAGATTGGTGACACCACCTTACCCAGCCCCAGATCAAATGAAGGGAACTCTAACTTTGTATATAATCGGGTCTTGTAATTAATTCCAAACCACTCTCAAGGAAGAAGATACATGCATAGTAAGTCTTCTAGTTTTGTCCTAGTAGTAGGAAAATAGAGATTTTTAAACCATTTATCTCCCCACTAATGAAGATTGTTTTAAAGACAGGACTGCAGATCTTATCCTGTGCAAAGATTTGGCTGACACCATGGTAGGAATATTTTAATTTCCATTCTACTTGAAAACACTCACTTCCAACCAAATTTAAGTTAAAAAGAAAAGCTCCAATACATTTTTAGCAACTGTCTCCTAAAAACATTCGCAAAGACTAAAATGTATTATCTGGGGGGATTCTGAAGAAAAGGATGATATTATTTGGGGTTTTTTTAGTATCTGCACACCAGAGATCCAAGCACAGCTGCACTCGAAGCTGGCAGCCCTCACACGTCTCTCCCATGGTGTTGTCTGGCACTTCACCCTTGATTTTGACACCAGGTCTTTCTTTTTCTTACTGAACACATCACGGGGTTCGACTCAAGTGGTAAATGAAGCCATACCTGCATCTCTCTCCGCATGGGATAGGTCCAATCCTTAAAATAATAAAATAAAAAATAATCACATATACACACAAAGGAAAAAAAACACATTCGGGCAGAGATCTGTACGTGCATGTTATAGAAAAGAAGCAAAATGAATTTTCTGCAGATTGTGCAAGCCACAGGCACTTAGCTTATGCTTCCTGCCACCCCTCCCCATGGGTACCAGTGACACCCAAGTGCAAGGAACACTATTTTGAAAGCTCAAGTTAAGAAACCTCAAGTACTCCACATCAGTGCCAACGCCTGTGCAGAATTGCTTGTGTTGTACATCCACACCTCAGCTTTCTGCTTAGAAACGTCCCTCTGGAGTGGGGAGGAAAATAAAAGAAATAAAGCTTTAGAACATTCTGTACTTGCTACAGAAGGAAAACAACGCCTTTGAGTGGTACATTCCTACAGCCACTGAAAAAACAGTAGAGAGACAACAAGTATAGGAAGTAACTCCCTGAAAATCTGTACTGCCTCACCTAATACATTAAAACTAGCTTGACTTTGAATATTCAGGATTTAGCTTTTATCAGTCTAGAAACTTATGTTCTCCATGAACACAGCAAGCCATTAAAGTTTATTTCCATATTTCTCCACTCCAGACAGTTACACCAGGAAGGATCCTTACACAGTAAATGCATGCACTTGTGTTCAGCCACAAGGACATAGCACTCCCTGTCAGCTCACTTACACCTAGCACATCACACCCTTCCACAAATCCCAGACCCTCACATTTGTGAGGGTTCACCACTCGGGACCCACCCTTTCCTACTGACTACCATCCAACTCAATCCATCACAACTGTCCAGAGCAAATGCCAGGATCAACGTTTTCATCCTCTGCTCCATTTTACACAACTGCCAAAGCTCACAAAAATAAACTGCTCAGGCAGCCTCTATTCCTGTCATTCCTCCTTTCCAACTCCCACCGTCCTCTATTAACAGGCTCTTACTCATGCTTTGACCCTCGCACATGAAGGAGTTGTATCTGAGATCACAGTTACCAGCTGGAGAAAATAATAAAAAAAGGAAATAGTCGAACATATCGAATCCAATAGACTGCATACATTTATTCACAGAACTTCGGTGGTTGCACCGGTAGCTAAGAAAAAGCTGTGCCATATGTCGTTCTTGTTGATGATCCAATCTCCTCAAAACTATGAGAAAGTCTAAATATTCCACCTCTGAAGTGAGCTCAGGATTACACCAAAAAGGATCCAGGCCCTTAAACTGCAGCATCATCCACCACATTAACACTGCAGTTGTACCAGTAATGCCCATTTCACATTAACCCTCTTCTTCTTAACAGACAAGAAAAACGCAGTGCTTCCCCCAAACGCGCACAGTTACACGGGAGGTTTAGCCAGCTCTTGGTAGTGGAATTAGAAAGGATTTGAGTATCAGTAAAGTTATGCTGGAAACCACTTGAAGTGAATCTGGGACAGCATTTCTGAGAAAGCAAACAAACACTAAGCCGCTCAAAGTAATTCTTTGAACACTACCTCAGTGGTAGCACAAACAGGGAAATAAAAAGCACTGAAATTATCTTTGCTGAAGACACAGAGAGGTAATTAGCTAAATTAGTTCTGCATAATCCAGCTGCAGTAATAAAAGCTCCTGGTAGTAGAAAGTAGAAATCCTGTGACAAAAGTGTGGTATTTACAGAAATGTGTCTTTTGAAGGTCTACCTAGGAGTGTTTTAGCATAACCCTGTTGTCTTGCTGCCTATACCAAAGCATAATTCACTCAAAAAGCAAGAAAAGCCCAGTTTTGTCCAAGTTCAGGACAACAGTAAGAGTAATAAAACTGTGAAAAGCTTAAGCTATACTCCAGGAGCACGCAACCGCTTAAGTGGCTTTATTATTCTATTTGTAGAATTTAAAAGGCTTAATCTGGAGCATAATGAAAACACAAATTCGTCACTACTTTGGTCAAGTGGACTTAACAAGATGTAAGAAATATTCCTCTCAAATGCATTAGAAGCAGGGAATGGTGTTAGTCCCAACAGCTGCAAAATAAGCAGGCAAGAATTTAGCAATACACAGTCCACAGGAAACCAAAACCCAGAAGACAACAGATGCCACAGATGTTCTGAGAAATAAAAAAGTCAGTATTGGCTCCACACATCAGTACTCAATGTTCTTCAAGAAGCCAAGAAGACACAGCTTCCAATGGGGTTAATTCTGCAAAATAAATCTCTGAAAGATGATAAAGAAAACATTTAATCTGAGACAAGTACACAAGCTACCGAAACAGTGATTCTGGTGATTTCCTGACAGCCTTCAGGGTTTTTAAAACTCACAACGCAACATTATTCAAATGTTATGCAAAATTATGTAAAATAATTTTACATAATTATTCTGTGAAATAATTGTTCTGTGAAAATAAAAAGATCTAGTAATACAGAGTGAACCCAAGCAGAGGTCTCATTTTAAGGAATTCATTCATCAACCGTGTTTTCCACACCCAGCAGACAAACACCAACTCTTTTTATCCCCCTAAATACAAGAATTTTGCCAAGATAAACACCTGATGATGCCAGAGCTGCACAGAGGAACAGCACCTCTTGCTACCAAGTATTTGGTAGGCTCTCCAGAATAAGTGACAACTCACTGGGAGATGTGATCTTCAATACTCACAAGACACAAAAGTAAAGAGAAGGAAGGCAAAAAATACACCCCAACTCCAAAGTTTTAAAGAGGAGATACTCAGCTCTGACAGATCTTCCCAAATCGGACTCTGATTCACCAGTGGACAAGTTTAAAAGACACCTCAGCTGTTTTGCTGAGGGTGCTCACAGCACTTATCTGCTGTATTATGTATTTGCTCAAATAAACTGAAGGTATGAATGAAGAGCCAAGATTTGTCTACAGTACAAAGAGCTTCTTGGTAACCAATATCCAAACTACATCAAGAGTTACTCTGCCAACAGTTACTGTTATTTTGCCAATATTTTGCCATAGCTGTACCTGCTCTTCTTTAGGAGAGTTTAATGCCAAAAAAACCTCATGACATTGCTTAACTGGTCCCTAGCTGACATTTTAAGTCTGAAGATCCATCTAATTTTCATACATAAAAGGTTTATCCTACTCAATCTTTGCTGAAACTTTGGTTGAAAGGCAACCCACAGTACTGCACATTCATTATTATGGTTAAACTCCTGCTGCCTTATAATTAGTAGAGCCTGCAAACCAGGCTGCCCCAGATGAAGGAAGAAGCTCTCAAAGGTGCTGAAAAAACCTCAAACCACTACAATAAATCAAATGTGTAGTTTAAAGGAGGAGAATCCAACATCAAGAAAGACTTTTTCTAGACTGTAGCTGCTGCCCATTATCCGCTGAGCATCACTGGCTCAGCACCACCTGCAACGACTCTCCCTGCTTTCAAAACCATTATTCCAGTCCTTTTGAAAAGCTGCACACGCCTCCCAGTAACACCTTCCTGAGCAGTTCAGGTTTCTGACCCTTTTCCAACACCCAGACAGCTCTTTTGTTGCTGATGTATAGCATCACTCACCTCTCTGTACAGATTTCTCTCCCCACCACAATTCATCGCAGCAGGACTTCTGCATGATTGGTTGTTCCTTGCGTACCTCAAAAATCCTAAATTTGTTTCCCTGTCTAGCAGAATATGCATATACGTTATACCACTAGAAAGTCTCTCCTCCAAACCTGGTACGGCATCCTTCCACAAGCTGTGAAATCAAAGCTGAAGACAACTGTTACGGCAACGACAGCCACACGTTCTGCTGACCTGCTTCAATCCCTTCATCTGGCAAACTGATCTCTTGCCACTCTGTACAGGAAATTAAAGTGACAGCTAAAAAGTGTTATATCAGAACACCAGAGACCATTATTATATTCACTGATTATATATATTATATATATATATATATATATATCACCCACCCATATTACACATGTAATAGATATATCACCCACCTTTAGCGGGCTACAGCTTGGATTGTGGATGAGATCCAACCTCTTAATGATCACCTTGACACAAAAGCTTTATGCCTAATTCTGAGGCAGTTTTAAATTTAATTTCCACAATGAAATGAGATAACACCTTGACTTTGAAAGTATTTTAGACAACATTTTGAAAAAAACCCCCCAGCTGATACACTCAGGTGTGTTATCGTTAAAGGGAGGATGTTATCATTAAAGAGCTGCACAAAAATAAAGCTAGTTACACCAACGGCCGTTGTAAAATGGAACACACAAGTAGTAACAGAGCGTGCTCATTTGCCATCTTTTAATAAGAAAACAAATTACATGAAGTACTGAAAGCAAATTCAAGAAAAATATTTGAGTATTACAGAAACCTGTCACGTCTATCACTGTGAAGTGAGTTACTTCAAGGGCCTCAAAATTAGCTACAACCAAGAATGAAATGAAAGGCTGTGTCTCCAGTTTCAGTCATGCTTCACGTTCTTGGACAGTTAATTCCAGTTAGAAGCGTTTTTTTTTATATATGTCTTCTTTTATATTCATAGAATAGAATTATTTCAAGTGGATGTGACCTACAATGATCAAACAGTCCAAATGCCTGACCACTTCAGGGCTAAATACTTTTTTTTCCAGGTAGAAGTCCTAGTACAGGTCCTTAAGATATTAACTAACAAGAACAGAGCTATTTGACAGGGTTACGGCAGGCTGGGACAGCACTGCTCACCAAACTCAGAGGCTGGTTAAAGTCAGTCTCCACAATGAGAACCATGGGCTGGGAAGTGGTGTTTAATAATAACAACAGTATTTTTTGTGTATTTGTAAAGTGCACTCAGACAACGGGAAGCCCTCATCACAGAGACATTTTTGTTTTTGAAAATACAAAGGAATATAAAAGCAGGAAAGTGGATAGAAACAATAGCAGGTGGGAAGGAGAGAGTGCACAGAGGAAGGAAGAAGCGTACAACAGGAAAATAAAGGTTATTTTGGCAAAGGGAAACACAAGCCATGGAAAAGGCTAAAAGGCAGACCAAGGAAACAAAATGGAAAGTAGAAACACACTATAGATAAGAAACAAATGTTTCTTATTTATCCCACTCAGTAACATTGGTCCAAAAGCAACCTCTCCCGGCTTGTTAAATACCAACTAGCACACAGGGTTGTCAATGCTGGCTTTTATTAAAGCACAATAAGGGAGCAAAGGCAGAATTCTTCAGCTTCTATGAAGTACGCAGCCAAGTGGCAGGACCACCACACTTTTTATATTATTTTCTTTTTAAACAGACTTGCACAGAAGCTGAGACTCATCTGAATTTTTTCTAGTAGTATTTCTCCTGCGTTCACCCCACGGCAACTCTACCCACTGCAATAGGAGGTCTCAATTATTCACTTTTACAAAGAATCTGTAGAACGAGCACTAGTTTTACTAGTGACTAGTAAAGGAAAATTATATTCAGATTGTTATTAGGCTGTTTATAATGGTGTAAATACATTCTTTTTCACGCCTTGTTTTTTTTAACTACAGCCCAGTGAGCTGGGCCATATCAAAACAGCCAAGGAATGCAGAGGTCTCCTTACAATCCTCATCTTAATTAATAATAACAACAACAACAACAATAATATTAAGTCATCAAAAAATTAAAGTCTTTGGTCGTACAAACCGCTCCAGTTGTGAGCCACCTTCACATCTGCATGGATGCCTGTGCACTTCAGCAGCCTTTGCATGGCACAAGTTAAACATGACTGACAAAACCGCTCGACTTCAGCTGCCAGAGCTCTTCTGATACATGCAAAGCAGGCTGAGAATATCCCATAGTTAGGATCAAAATCTGTCACCTCATTTACATTTCCCAGCATGACATCGCATTCGTTTCAAATTTCTTTTGCTCCATTATGTGGGCAGGTAAAATAAATATTATATTACAGGCTTCCTACTTATTTCAAAGAGTCTGCAGAGGAGGGGAATCACTTCATGTTTGTTAAGGGGGCTATTTGTGTTTCGTATCACAACCAAGAGTAAAGAAGCCTAAGACATTTGTTCCTCCTTTAGATGGACTGCGCTGTCACACAGTCTAAAAAGCAGTCAAAAACACATTAGCATTTCAGACTAAATATAGCTGTCATGGAATGTACATTTCTTCAAAAATCAGGTGCTGAAGACAGTTTGGGTTTTACGTAATAAAAAGGCAACTATGACTGCTTAGTCAATAAGCTGCATTCTCCATTACAAAAGCCATGGAGAGCCCTAACAAAATTCTAAATGCGTTGTGAATACCAGTTTACTCAGCCTGCTTGCGAACAAATACACCAATGTTTTAACAAAGAAGTGAGCCGGTAATTATTGCTGTGTGCCCATTACATATATCCTAGTGCTATTCTTTTTTTAATGTTTGTTTAAAATTTTATGGGAAAATACTGTCAATTACATTCCACTTCAATTGGAGAAGAAACTTCTTCTCAGTGAGGGTGACAGAGCACTGGACCAGGCTGCCCAGAGAGGTTGTGGAGTCTCCTTCTCTGCAGACATTCAAAACCCGCCTGGACGCCTTCCTGTGTAACCTCATCTGGGTGTTCCTGCTCCGGCAGGGGGATTGGACTGGATGAGCTTTTGAGGTCCCTTCCAGTCCCCAACGTTCTGGGATTCTGTGATTCCTTGAATAATTCCAGTCCTTATTTACCATCTTTCCAAAAGTGCTGAGATGTCTCAGTGCTAGCATGGCAGCATGCACTAACTGTTGTTAACCTGACCATCTCCTACTGGGTCTGTAGCCATACGTGTTTGTACTGGTTAAAAAAAACAACCCCGGCACTTCTCAAATTAAAGAAAGTTTGAGACCACACCTTGGAAAACGTATCAATTTTAGAAACGGACATATAAATCTAAGCTTAGAAATGGTTTCCATGCCACGTCCGATCGCTGTTACTCACAAGACTTTGACATATTCGCTATCACCAATCTGTAAAAGAACACGCACAGTTTCCAGACGTTGACGGCACAGACCATAAAAGCTTTGTGAGAATGATGAGTGTCACATCGAATATCCAAAAGTTAACAGTAGAAAACACTCAGACAGCATCAGGACCTGTAAAAAGGGGTTCAGTTTTTACCTGCCACAGACTGACCACTGAACGACCGGAGCTGGGTTACCCCAGACTTCATCAGCTTGTCTTGCAGAGTCAAACAATTTCCGTACCAAAGCGTGGCAGATGCTGGCAAATACCTGTCCGTACTTGACCTATATCATTGTTTCAACACCTGAATGAACTTTAAGTACACACAAATTGCAGGAAAAAGAAAAGTGACACGAGTCACTGAGTACTCAGAAGGAACTTCTGGTCCATCAGTCACTGAGAAGGTGTCAGGCGGGGAATGCAAAAGGCACAACTCTCTCCAGCAGGCAAACATCACCAGCATTTCTTAACGTGACTTTTCACAAGCTACAAAAAGTCCTAATAACCAAGTAGTTTAAAAATCCAGCAATCTGTAACACTACGGACAGATTAGAGACATTGCAAACAACCTCCAGGCCAGAAAACCTCTGCAGTCTGAGTCAACCCCAGCGCAGGCTGCTTCACCCCTCCAAGCCAGCCTTGCCCACTCTGACTTTTCCTTGTGCCAGCGCTAGGGAGCATGAAGCTGTGCAGTCAACCAGAGCAGCTCACTCACTTGGCTTATTATTATTATTGTTGTTATTATTGTTATTAAAGTTGTCACATGGTTACTCGAGTCAGCCAGAAGGGAGCTGGGGGTGGCAGTGAGATTGCCTTAAAATGCCCACAAAGTTGCACGTAGTCCAAGCAGCTCACGTCAGGAACTAAACCAGGTATTCCCCAAGTTCTCTCTCTTCCCCTCAACACCAATATCTTGAATTCAAACCTACCAAGACAGCATTAAACCACACATAGCCAAGTTCCTGAAATAATATTAGAGAGGAATACTCGTTAAAGAATCCCCTCACTGCAATACACAAGAGATGATCTTCATCTTCCCATGAATAATGTACATTTCATGGGCAGAATGATTTTAATTTCCTCAGTTTGCTTTTCTAAAGCATATTCTTAAGGATTGGGCTGAAGTTTGTTACATTCTGCTTTAAAAGTTGGCTCCACAAGAACTTTGAAATCCTCACCCTGGCTTTAACTTCTCTCTTTCTCCAAAATACTCCAACTATGGTGTATTTAGATCAAGTCAGACACATATACAAGGTGTCAGAAAAAAACCACCAACTTTCAGCTTTGGAAAACAGTCCTTGAAACTCTCCACTATGGTCCTGCAGCATGTGAACCTCTAACTTTCTATATACTATACTACTGAGAGATAGAGCATGAAAAAAAAGAAATAAAATCCACTTTGAAGGACAGTGCATTATAATTTCAGTTTTCATCAGCTAAGAGTTGTTAGACTGGCAGTGACTTTGTTTTTAAAGCCATTTTAACCATTCTAGTTATAAACAGGTTCAAAAAGCCATCCATGCTAACGAAGTTAACCATTTTCAAAAGTAATTCTAGAGAATGATCGGTTTCTCCAGAAAGAAAAGGTGTTCAAAACCAAACAAATTATAAACCTCACAGGGTGATACATAATTTGTGTTCAGATACAAACTG